CACAGTGGAAGGGCTGGTGCTCAGCCAGCAGTGAGGCTCGCCTGCCCCCTGGTGGACGGCGTGTGTGACAGCTGTTGCGGTAGCCGGCAGGCACTGAAAAGGACAGCGGGAAGAAACCCGAGAGATTACCTGGTCTGCTGCTGTGACTTGATCACCTGTGCGGCCTGGGAAAGGAAAACGCAAGCCACTGTGGACCTTCCCAGGTGTGTTTGGTTGCCACAGCTAGAGCTTAGGGTCCCAAATTATTCATCACCCCCCAAATCCTCACTACAAAAAAGAACTATCTGCAGTGTGGTCGTGTTTTCCTGTTGTTTTTATTTGTTAAAAACACGTAAGTCAAAATAGGTTTAGAGGGGCTGGGGTACATAAGGCCAGGGTTCCATCCCAGCACTTCAAAAAAGAAAAAAAACCTACTTCAGTAAATAGGCAAATATCAAGCTATTTTCACATTTTCTTTCACCATACTAAATACAGGCCAGGGCATACAAAAACTACTATTTATTTATTTACTGTCTTTTTTGAAACTCCGTGTGCAGTTCAGGCTGGTCTTGGACTTACAATGAACTCCTGCTTCAGTCTCCTGACTACTGGGATTACAGGAATATGAAAACTACTTTTTCAGTTTATTGTTTTTGTTTTAAGAGTCTCACTATGTGCTTCAGGCTGGCCTTGAACTCGCAGTGTAGCTCAAGCTGGTCTTGAGCTCATGGCATTCAATCCTCCTGCTTCAGCCCCCCGAATGCTGGGACATCAGCCATGCTCCACCACACTCAGTGTTTTTCAATTTACAGCATTTCTAAGTGGCTGAGCTTCTCTTAGACTGTTGTAAATGTTGTCTATGTTCTGCTTGATTGATTATCTAAAATGAAACATGCTAGCTAGACAGTGCAATCACAAAAATTATTTCCTTAAAAATCATATTGTACTGAGATTCATAATCCCACTAAGCTCCTGATGGGTTAGCTGTGTCAAAACTCACTTAATAACACTTCCTCAAGGTGGCTGGGAAACAAGCTCCTTTGAACTTGCTTTGGAAGAGATGGTTCCATGTAGCCAGCTTGTGTGGGAGCCGAGGGGCGGAGGGAAATCTTAGAAATTCAGCTGTACGCTCATTGGATGGGTTCCCGTGGCCTGACAATGTTAAATGGGAAATTCCAGGGCTGGGCAAATCATCTCAGTGGCAAACCACACACCTTTCTGAGCACCCTGTGGTCTCCCTGTTCCATGTTGTCTCTCCATGTCCTGCCCAGGATGTGACCCCCTCACTGTGTACATCCCCAGAGCCATGTCCAGTGTGGTCTGCCACCGTCTGCAGCACCATGAGACTCGAAGCAGCTCTGGGCGAAGGCTGGGGAGTGTGGAGGAACAGGCTGGAGGAAGCCAAGGCTGCCTGAGCAGAGTGCTAAGGAAAGGCTGGTGAGGGTCAGGACACAAGGACAGCCACGGAGACTGCCTAGTGCTCCTGGAGGTGGCTGTGATCGGGATTACGTAGGAATGTGGACCACAAAGGTAACTCCACTATGGGAGCCGAAAAGTACTGGGTACTAGAGGAAAGACTGCCCTTTTTTACAAAGTGGCAAAGGACGCCACAGAATTATGTCCCTATCACAGTGCTTCACAGATGGCAGAGCTGACGGCATGGGGTAAGGATTCTTGGGGGAAGAAAGGTCTGAGCTGACTTTGATTGCTTATCATAAAATGACAGGAGAGCGATAAATAAAGACAGAGCTTGTAATTGAAGGGAGGCAAACAGGAGATTCGGCAAAAGATGCTTGCAAGACACGTGGGCCAGCACTGACATTTGACAGACAGATAGATCAGTGTGAGCAGAAGCCAGATGCTGTTAAGACAGTGGAAGAATGACTCCAAGGGCATCTCAGAGGCCATCAGTGCTGCCACTCCTGCTGCAAGGCCCCGTGGGCAGAGGAGTTCCCACAGAGCCATCACCCAGGGTGCCTGGGGCCCCTGTCCAAGGTGCCACAGGGCCTCACCTCTGCTGCCCGTGCCCCAGCACAGCACCCCCTGGCTCAGTCACCTGATAAACCACAATGGCCCCATGTGATGCCAACGCTGTGGGTGAGCAGAGGCGTAGACTGAAGGGCATGGCTGATCTCACCTGTTCAAAGGATGCCTTGGCCAGTCATGGGCCTGGGCAGAGATGGAGTCACCCGGGTGGTGCCCAGTGAAGCCATGGGACTGGGGCCATCACAGAACACTTACTAGAGTGATGCATGCTAATGCTGAAAGGGGGCACCCCCAAGACCCCACACACAGTGCCAGCCTAGAAAACTGCAGGCTGGGATGCCCCATCAGAGATGCTTCCTGAACTATGTGAGGCAGTCAGGGGTGAGGTCCCCTGGAGCCTTGGACACCCAGCCCCTGGACCAGCGCATCAGGAACATGGATGTCAGCCACCGATGATTCTGCAGTACAAGGTTTGGTGTCATTTGTGACGCCCATAATTCCTTCGCTCCTGCTGGTGGATTTCATCTGCAGCGGGAGGCCTGCTCTGAGCCCCTCCCATCGTTTGATGTTGGAGCACAGAGTGCAACAGGTGTTCTCAGGTTCACAGCGGCTGTAGATGCGATAACCGTAATAGTTATGCCACATGTTCTGACTATAACAATTATAATAAATACTTCAGTATCTGCAGCAGACGGAAGCAAGATGCTGAGTGTGAGGCATGCTGAGGCAACTCCCCCAGAGCTGGGAGCTGGGAAGAGCAAACGTGTTGTGAGCTTCCAGCATACGATGCAGGGAGGACTGGGGGCCACGGGGACACGAGGAGAGCAGTTTGTGTGTGAAGACATGATAGCAGCCTGTTTTGCATTCCTATAATATAAGTGCTCCCAGCTGGGTAACTTTATAAAGAAAAGATTCTGGAGGCTCCAGGGCCTCTCGAAGGATGGTAATAATGACCATGGCCTTTGTGCTGCCAGCGTCCCAAGGCTGCAGAGGACATCACATGACAGCAGACAGGCACCTCTTCCAGCTCTTTCTCTCTCTCTCCCCTCGGGCGATGGGTCATGGGGCTCCATCCTGATGGCTTCTCTATCCTAACTCATTCTCAAAGACCTGACTGCTAAACCTCTTATTCAGATCAAGGTTCTACACAGTGGGGGTCATACTTCAACACAGCAACCCTTGGAGGTGGCTCTTAGACTGTCTCCAAGTCACAGCACAGAGGAATCTGGGGTGACTGAGGCTGAGATGCTCAGTTTGACTGCCTGTGTACCATCCTCCTACCCCAAGATTCATGTGGAAACTGAGTCCTTGAGGTAAAAACTTTAAGAGAGGGACCTTAAAAGCAGGCAGTCAGGCCCAGGAAGGCTCTTCCTGTGAACAGATACAGGTCCTGAAGAAAGAGGCTTCAAACTCAGCCCCAGTTCACCCTCCCACCACCAAGGAAGTTGCCATGGGTGCCCTGGGAGCAGATCTGTGGTGCCTTGACCTGAGCTCCCTAGACTCCTGGGCCATGAGAAACATATTTCTGGAGTTTATTTGCTCGCCAGCCTGGAGTGCTCCATTATAGCCGAACAAATGGGCTCAGACAGGCTCCACAGTGCTCCATGAGTACAGGGAAAGAGCTCACGGAAGATCAGGTCAGCGGAGACATCAAGGGTCCAGCGGGCTCCAGGAAGAAACGGCCACCCTACAGGCCTTGGAGATGTGCCTGATGGCCCTGGGACTCCACAGCAGGTGTCCTGGGGCTGCCATCTATGCACTAGATGGCCATCTTCTGACTGGGACTGAATGTCACATGGACACTGCAGTGGTTCTTCAGCTCTACGGGAAACCTGGCACGGCTATCAGATCTGATTAAACCTGTCTCGGGACCGAACTAGCCTGGCTAGCAATAAACACTGGTTTATTATATTGCAATAAAACTGCAAAACAATATGCAATTTCAGTCATTAAACTTTCTTTTTCCCAAACTGTGGATAGTATTTTTTATTATCTACTTTGATCTTTTTAAAATCAGAAACAAATTATCAAAGTCCAAACAAAGCAAAACAACAAAAATACTCCACTGACCTGTTCATGTGATATAGTTCAGGTTAACAAAACAAAAGAATTTTTCCTTTGTCACTTTTTCACGAGACTTGCAAGAAAGTAGATTTTGGGAACACAGGATTATTTTATATGCCCAGAACAGTAAAGTTTTGGTGAAATTACCTCTCTGGACATTTAGAGGGGGCACACAATGACCTCACAATAATATTTATGCCCGTGCCATTCCACAATGATCACTGCACCTGGATAATCTGGGGAGAAGTTGTTTAGACTTTGAGCATCTTAGGCAGGAAATAGTTTACTTGTGCAAATCAAGTGTCCTTTCTGGTGGCACGTGGCTTGGCCTGGAGACAGTTTTTGTGACCAACAATCATGGGCTGAGCCCTTTTGCCACCTGAAAGACGGTGACACCAAAGCTGGTGCTCAAAGCGCTTCTGTTTGACCTCATCCTGGTGGCCCTTTCTTCTCCAATGCAGGAGGCCCCAGATTCGCTCTCCCCAATTCTAACACAGATGGGGTTCAAAAGGAACCACGCCTGATACCATCTCAGCCATGTGCCCTTTAGAAAAGCACAGTGGGTTAGGGCCGTGTCAGAAATTTGCAGAAAGACAACTGAGAAAAGACCCGACGCCCTGAAGAGGGCACTGTGCAGAGAGTCCTTGCAAACCCCTGCTTTTCTTCACCAACAAGGAAGTCACGGGAGAGGGCCACCGCCCGGCCAGGCCCCGCCCCGCCCCGCCTGCCCAGTGCGGCCTGACCCCTTCCACTCCCTCCCTCACCAACCTATAAAGGTGTGGACCCAGGCGCTTCCCAGTCTTGAGCCTAGCAGAGCGCCAGTGCAGAGCATCCGGTAAGCGCTGGGAGCTCCGCGGGGAGGACCCCGCGCCCCGCCCCGCCTGGCTTCCCAGGGGCGGAGCCAACACGGGTCCCCAACGCTGTGGCGCAGCTGGCTGGATCGCAGAGGTCCAGGCACTTTTCTCTCGTTCCAGCCCGGCTGCCCTTGACCCGGGATCGCTCTTTGGGCCACCGCGCCATCCCTGTGGCACTCAGCCCGGGAGCATGCAACCGGTTTCTCGCCCGTAGTGCATTTGAGGGGAAATTAAGGCTCTGGGAACAGAGATGCAGATGGGGCCGTGGTGGCCAGCTGCAGACACCACCTGTCTGTGCAAGGCCCAGAGGACACCTGGGGGGCATTCGAGGCAGCTGGGCCATAACCCCTGAAGCTTCAGCAACCTCTGCTGAGTCCCCAAAAGGAAAACAGCCGTGAAGATTCCAGTTTACCCGTGCTGGAGTTTATTTGACGGCACTGTGGCTTGCCAGGATTTTCTGGTACCCTGGGTTGCTCTGATTTGCTAGTATAAGTGCTGGGCTTCGGGTAAACACGGGCAAGGGATCCCTTGCTTAAATGAATGAGGGCCTGGGACCAAAGGGACAGAGCCGAGTTTGCTTCCAAATTTAGGGGGATTGGGGGCTTTTCCAAGGCAGCCGGCAGGTCCAGCCCCACCTTTGTGGCAGGGAGCGACTTCTTGCCCTCTTGGAGAAGTGGAGATAAAGTGCAGGTTCCAGGGTGTGTCCAGGGGGTTGGCACTGGTGGAGAAAGGTGCAGGGAACGCTGGGCAGCTGCTGGATTTGGGGGCAAGGGCAGGGAGTCACCCGGGCCTCTGTGTTGTGTGTGTAGCAGTCTTCGCCATGGAGCAGCTGAGCACAGCGAACACCGCTTTCGCCTTGGACATCTTCCGCCTCCTGTGCAATGACAACCACACGGGGAACATCTTCATCTCTCCCTACAGCATCTCGTCAGCCATGGGCATGCTCTTTCTGGGGACCCGAGGTGAAACCGCAGCACAGCTCTCCAAGGTCAACAGAAGTGGCCCCTCTTTCCCTGCTCCCCGCTAAGGTGCAGCTGCAGCTGGCACCTTCAAGCTCTTGCACTGTGCTTTGCCAACGCTGTTGAACTGTGCCCAACCGCTCTCCATGGCGGGCAGAGGCTGAGAAAAGCCCACAAATGGTCCCCCTGCCTGCAGGCACATGTTGGTGGTTGGGTCTTCCCCGAGGACCTCCTATGTGCCGGACACTGGTTTTTGTTTAGCTGAGAGTACAGTAGTGGACCAAGCTGGCAGGATCCCGCAGGTGCTGCTTCTGTCCCAGAGATTCTGTGACAGCCCTCTCTGACCCTCCACGTGCCCTTGAGCTGCTGTTTCTAGATTTTGCTTTGTGCATGGTGGCTGCCTGCTCCTCACACATGATGTCTGATTTGTAGCATCACCTGTAAGCATGAGAGTAGGAGAAGGCTCCACAGCAGGGCAGGTGGTGGTGCTGGTGACTGTGGGTTTGGTGTCCCATGGAGGATGCTATGGCTGCCCTCAGCGTAGCCAGGAGGGCTGTGGGCCAGCGGGGGGTCTCTGCAAGGGGAGCTGGAGAAAGAGAGCAGAAGGCCTTGAGCTTGGGAGCCGGACTGAGTCCTGGCAGGGTGGTACCTGACAGTCTCTGACCCCCAGAAAGGAACAGCAGCTTGCGCTGGAGGCCTAGGAAAAAGGGCCACAGCGGAAGGTTGCCCGACACTCCTGCCATGCTTGTTACCACATCTGCTCCCTAGGAAGGTGCACCCCTGGACTCAGGTTCTTGAGCTGCCAAGCACCGTGCTCAGCGTGCAGATGCGAAAGCATGGACGGTTTTGCACAAAATCCACTTGTATTTAATCACAGATGCTTTAGCTACTTCTCACAAGGTTACCGCAACTCCTGTTTTGAGGGGTTCCAGGAATTTATGATTTCAAAAAGAAGATTTGTAAGGGCTTTTTTCCCTCACAGCTTCATTAACACAGATGGATCCCCGTGACAAGCAAACATTCCATGTCCCCAAAGGATATGGACTTAGGTTACTAGGTGGTTTTGTTTTCTGTGTCTCAGAAGCAGGAAGCAGCCCAAGCCCCAGGAACCTGGGAAGGGCCTCTTGGCTTGTGGCTGATACACAGGGAATTCAGCTTCCACCAGAATGCTCAGCTCAAAGGCATGACTCTATTTTTATTTTTTATTTTTTAAAGGCATGATTTTAAATAGCGAGTCAGGGATGCTGATAAGGGAACCACAAGAACCCCACAGTCCATAATACCTCCGTGGCCCAGCATCAGGGATGAGTCTTATTTTTTAGTATTTATTTATGTGCAATCTCCATAAAATTATATATGATACAGAATATAAATACACTATTTTTTATTTGGGCGGGAAGAAAGCAGACATATAATATGGTTCCACAAATGAGAGTGATTGATATGTTCCGTCACGTGTGTGAAACTATAATTATTACTAAAAGTGGCAAAATGCAGTTTCTGATGTTACACCTAATACATCTCATCAAGTCATAAGTCCTGGGTTCCTTTATATTTCTTCTGATAATGATAAATTAATATAATGGTGAGGAAGGGAATCAAGAACTAGAAATAAAAACAGTAATTTATTTTGGTGGTAGCAAATACCAAGGAATTTATTTATAATTTCAAAAGCAATGTTCTCAGAAAGAGGTGTTCTCTTTATTTTAGGCTCTTCACTTTGATACGGTTAAGGATGTTCATTCAAGTTTTCAGAGCCTGAATGCAAAACTAAATAAACCCAGAGCCTCCTATGTTCTGAAACTTGCCAACAGATTATATGGAGAGAAAACCTATGATTTCCTCGCGGTAAGTACTTTGCACTTCATAATATAAATTCAGCTAAGTAGTGTGGACTGTTTTCCAGCACACTGAAGTCCTAGAAGTCAACTTCAGTGTTTACTAACATTCACAAAAACAATACACAATGAAGCATACAGTAGGCAGCGTGCCCACTGATCAGTGGGGTGGCTTCACTTGTAGTCTTTACAGTAAAAAGATGTCTTCACAGTAAATACCTGTGTTTTATTTGTTGTTCCTTTACCCTCCGAGAGGCTGGCCCAGGACCTTGTGCCTGCTAGGCAAGTGCCCTACCGCTGAGCTACCTCCTAGTTTGAGATAGGGTTTCACTAATTTCCCCAGGCTGGACTTGAACTTGCCATCTTCTTGCCTCGGCCTCTTGATAGTTGGGATTACAGTCACGTGCCCGAGATTCTGGAAGTTTTAGGAAAGCCAGAGTGAATCACGTGACCCACTTCCACGTACAATCAGTATCTGCTTACTTCTGAAAATGTCAGTCCAGTGTTCAAAAACAACTTTATATCACACACAAAGTATAACAGTTAAACGTACCATGACTGAACTGTACTCCTAAAAATAGTGCAGGTAGTAAATTTAATGTTTTTGATCATATTTTTAAATAAGGGTAAGGATAAGAATTTTTGTGTTATACTTGCATGAAACCTTTCGGGACAATTTCCATTACTTTTCAGGGTTTTGCTACCCTGGACACTACTAGATGAGTAGGATTTCTCGTGACGCTTGTTTTGTTTTGTCTTTTTAATAGGAGTTCTTGGCATCAACTAAGAAAATGTATGGTGCTGAAATGGTCAGTGTGGATTTTAAGAATGACACTGAAAGCACGAGAAAAACAATAAACAAATGGGTCAAAGAAAAGACAGAAGGTGAGAGGCTGGGCATCTGTACCGGGCAGCCTGTATCGGTCAGTTTTCCAGGATTGTAACGCACCCCAGAGGTAATCAGCTTCCAGAGTGAACAACCTTATTTTGGTTCCTGTCCATGCTCATTGGCCTTGTTGACGGGATGATGGTGGCACAGGGCATCATAGTGAAAGAGCATGGCAGAGGAGGGAGGCCTCTTTCTGTCACAGACAGGTATGGAAGAGAGGAACAGACAGGCATCCCACAGCCCTTCCAGGTCACATGCCAAGGGGCCTAAGTACCTCTCACCATGCCATATCTCTCTCTCTCTCTCTCTCTCTGTATCTTTCTCTCTGAGACAGGGTCTCACTATGCAGTTAAGCTGGACTTGAGCTCACTTTGTAGCACAGGCTGGTCTCAAACTCACAAAAGTCCTCCTGCCTCTGCCTCCTGAGTGCTGGGATTATAGACATGTGCCACTACATCCAGCACCATGCCATTTCTTGAGAGATCTTCCTCTTCACACTAGTGACATGGGTGTGAGCCAATCTACGGGACTCTGGGGGACAAGGACCCAAACCGCAGCAGGAACATTAGCCACAGGCTCCTTTCCTCTGTGTACCTCTGTGCCCGCATCCTGTCCCCCCTCCCCAGCCTCCCACTCCCTGACCCATGCACATTTACCATCAGGTGCTGTCGCCTCTGTGAACCCTGTCCCTCCATGAGAGGGAAACACACACCTTACCTTTCTTCATCTAGATTCTGCCAAAGTACATTTGAAAGTTTGAGCCAAAAATAAGTGCAGAATAAAAGGGTCAGAAATGGCTGTGTCCGACACAAACGGAACACGGGTTTCACAGGATCTAGGACACTGGGATTCACTGACGGCTGCAGTTGTAGGCTCTGCCAATACCTTGTCCAATACACCCAGAGGGATGGGTGGGACTGCGTCTCTGCAAGGAGCAAGTTAGCTACTTAGTGGCCCTGGCTTCTAGGTAGTTGCCATGTGAGTTGACCTCCACAGATAGCCCCTGCCGACCTTTCGGGAACTGTCCTGAGCAGTGCACATGGCTACGGGGGAGCCTTTGGAGCAGTAAAATGACTGTGCTGCCTTTCCGTTATTTGCATTTACTGGATAGATTCAAAGAAGTCACTTACGAGTAACTCAAGTCAATGTTTTAAAGGAATTTTTTTCTTGTAGAAAAGTTAGTTATTAACTTAGTTATTTTTCTCATTGCTGAAACAAAATACCAAACACCCAAAGTCCAAGGACAAAAAGTTTATTTCAGCTCACAGTTTGTAGACATTTCAGTCTGTAATCATCTCACTCCGAGGCAGGGTAACGTGGCAGAGGCACTGCAGAAATGGTTCATGGCAGGCAGAAGGCGGGAAAAGCAAGCAACAAGAGCAGCTTCTTTCTGCCCCTCTATTTTCTAGTTAGGTACTTGGCTTAGGGTGGGTGCCAAGCCAACCAGTGGACTAATTTAGAAACCACCCACCCTCAATCCCAGCTTCTCACACTGCAGCCCCAGCCACCTCTAAAAAAGCCCCACCTCTGATTGCATGAGGCTTTAGGGCACATCTGGGCATAAACCATAGCAATGACCATTCACAAAATAAGGTTCATTGTTTTTCCATGATCTAGGGAAGGAGAATTCTTCTGTTTTTATCCTTTGAACACATTTGGCTTATTTTCATGGCTTTTCTCTTTCTTTTATAGTATTAGGGATGGAACCCACTGAACTACACTCCCAAAGCCCACAGTGGCTTGTTTTAAACTGTTGTGGCCTTGTGGGAAGTTTATACTCATCCTTGTCTGCCTCACAAATTGACTTATACAAACGAGAATCCTCCCAGTTAGGCCTTCCTGCCACAACGCCAACAAAAGTGTACATTCAAATCACACTCCGTGCCATGGGATCATCTGGAATTCCAACAGAGAGCTTTGAAAAGGTGCACTTTATCTTTTCAGGGAAAATTCCAGAACTTTTGGCTCCGGGTGTGATTGATGACATGAGTAAAATGGTGCTGGTGAACGCCATCTACTTCAAGGGGATGTGGCGGGAGAAATTCACGAAAGATGACACAACCGATATGCTATTCAAATTGAGTAAGGTAAGGGGATGTAACTGCCCTAAAATACTCATCCTCTTCCCCTCTTCTTCCTCCTCTCTTTCTTCATCTTTGCCTCTTCCTTGCTTCCCTTTTTCTTCTTCTTTTCCTTCTTCTTTATGTTTTCCTTCTCTTCCTCTTTTCCTGTTCCTCCTCTTCCTTTTTATGCTGGGGACCCAGGGCCTCCCCCATGCTAAACATACGTTGTACCACGGAGTTACACTTAAAATTGCTCTTTGCTCTAAAAGAATGTGAAAGAATCATCTAGTGGTTTTTAAAAAATCTATTCAGAAAGACACAAAAACAGTGAAGATGATGTCTCGGAAGGCAAACGTTCCATACGGCCACGTCGAGGACCTTGGGCTCCAGCTGGTGGAGCTGCCCTATGCAGATGAGGAGATCAGCATGGTTATTCTGCTGCCCGATGAGATCAGTGACGACGGCACAGGTCTGGAGGAGGTACTGACACCCCAGATTTGCGATCTGGGTTTCCTTTTATTTTTCCTGTATGCTGCTGTTGCTGCTGATGATAATGACGATGATAATGATTATCCTTATCATTGTTCAGTGGTGGTACAGATCAAACCCAGGGCCATGTGTATGCTCGGCAAGTGCTCTACCCCTGAGCTGCACCTTTAGGCCAGAGACCCTTCATTTACATCTTCAGGATGCACTGCCAGTGCGTAGTCAAGATGAGGAACATTTGAAGATTTAAATGAAATGTAACATTGGATAGAGGCAGCTCATGGAAAGTTTTTTGAATTAACTTTAAAGGAAAGTGTGATACACCAAGGATTGTTTTATGGAGGTAAAAGATTTACAACTCCAAATTATGTTGTTCTACAGCTTCACTTATTATTATACTGTTCATCCTTGCCACAATTCATATGAATTGTGAATTAAATTTCCATTAGGTACGTCACAGAAAAAGACTCATGTACCAAGTCAGCATTTGGTTGGCCTATGCTGGGCCTATTTCCTAACACAAGTTTTGTATGTTGTTTCCACTTTGTTTAGTTTAAAGCCTAGGATATCCCATGCCAGGCTTAAACCTAGGCAAATTGTGACAATCACAGTATTCCTTTAGGGATCCTTCCCTGTGATGTGGTTTCACCCTCTCCTTCCCAGTGGGACTTTCTATGTTAGTTTAATGTTAGTCATTTGCACATAAACACATATTAACATCAATGTGCTCCTTCTTCCACTTGTTCTTGGGTACTAGTCTTTTCCTTCACTGCAAGTAAAAATCTCTAGTTTTATGTAAGGAGGATCAACTCAGCAGGACAATGAAATGATGGCTGTGTTCTGGTCCAAAAGTAACAGTAGTTATGATGGTAAAACCTGATATTAGGTGGCACTTATCATGTGCCAAGCATATTGTATATATCAATTCACCTGACACTCAAGCAATGCTAAATAAGGCGGTTCAATTATTTGCTCCCTTTAAATGAGGAACTAAGTCTAGTACATATCTGCCATTTACAGTTTTACTAAAGTGCTAAAGTGATGAGAGTTTACCTTAGCTATAATGGAATTAAGAGTTATTGGGCTTCAAAACAAACAGAGGCCTTTGCAATTTTCCTTCACACCACTCAACCAGTTAGGGGAGCGAAAGCTGGCGTGGCCTGTTGCAATAATCCAGGATGGTAGGGGCTTAGTGAGTCCAGAATGCATGGAGGGATGGCGGGCTCAGGGAATGCAGGCATGAGTAGAGAGCAGGGTGGGCGGACAATGAGCAGGTTGGGGCTGGGGGCCCAGGGACCAGTAGGTGGGTCACTGGGTGGACAAACGATAGACCTATGTCCGAAGTCCCTGAACTTGGTGACATGGAACATCGCTCTGTCCTGGTTTACCAGCCACCAGACAGGAATGCAACCCTCCAAATGCAATCTTTTTTTTGCCACAAAACATGAGTGAAAACTAATAGTAATGATTATTGCAAGTCCATACATTTAAAGAGTGCTTTATTGTTTTGCTTATGTAAAACTGATTCCGCTTATTTTTGCCTCATCTTAATTCTAGATTGAGAGACAACTGAGTGTGGAAAAACTGCGTGAGTGGACCCAGAGTCTGGAGACCACGGAGGTCAACATCAAATTGCCCAGGTTCAAAGTAGAGGATAGCTACGATCTGAACAACAACCTCACCCGCCTTGGGGTGCGGGATCTCTTTAGTCGCAGCAAGGCAGATCTGTCTGGTATGTCAGGAGCCAGAGATCTTCACGTATCAAAAATTATCCACAAGACCTTTATAGATGTGAATGAAGAGGGGACGGAGGCCGCGGCCGCCACAGCAGGCTTCGTAGCCTATGCCATGTTGCTGGAGGAGGTGAATTTCACTGTGGATCACCCTTTCATTTTCATTATTAAGAACAGGATCTTAGATCTACCCCTGTTCATTGGCAGGATAATTTCCCCTTAGAACAGAGAGGCTCTGGAAAGACAAGGCCAAGCTTAGAGCTTTATTCCCTGAGCCGGGCATAGAGGCAGTGCTCATTTATCTTGAGCAGTGAAACTAACCAGAAACAAATCTTTAATTTCCTTTGTAAGTTCCTCTCTGTTGGCTTTTGACAGACTTGTATTTTGGCGTAGACATCTATTTTTCCTTTTTCATGCTGAAAAGGGGAAAAACACCCCACTGGTTGCTTTTGAAATCATCAAGCTTTTAAAAAAGAAAAACAAAAATCAGAGGCACAGTTTCTTGACAGTATAGTCATCTCTGAACACGCCGTACTCTCCTGATAGCTGTGGCAAAAGTGTGACATTTCCCCAAATCAAACTGTTCTGGAATTAGAATAAGCCAAAAAGAGGTGACATCCATTTGACCTAAGAAAAGTAATGATGCACCATTCAAATAAATGGACTCGGAGTAACAGTTTCTAAGTAGTTTCCCTCGTGGCAGTAACACGGGAATGTGCCATTTATTGTATGGCTAGAATGTCAGAAGCCACTCTGGCTCTGGAAGGGAGAATTAAAAACAGATATGCAGTCAACACAGAGGAAAGCGCTCCAGTCAAGGGTGATGAAGGCAGCTTGCTTTGCGCTGCACTGTGGTCCGTTGTCACAGGATGAGTACTCAGTTACAGCCCTCTTGTATTTCCATAGTTTGGTTAAGGAGCCCCTGGGTTACAGCCCGTACCCCTGGCTGCTCCGCCTTAGCTATGCTGTGTACTTCGTGTGAGGTCATGGGATCGAGGAGTGGGGGTCTGACCATCCAATCTGGTAAAGGACTACAGAAAGAACAACGGAGCAGGAGAAGCTGCCAAGCCAACAGGCAGTGCAGAGTTCTCGCTATGAATTGACTGCTTGCGAGTTTCTTGACAAAGGCCAGTTTGCATCCTTTTGGCTGTTGTGGAGAGGAACCCCTTGTGCAGTGGTGTAGAGGGGTTGGGGGTGGAAAGTTCTGTATTAATAGGAAACCTTGTCATGTGGGCTTCTTTCAATGGAACTGAACTGCTGAATTTCCTTGCTGGTGAGCATCACAATCTAATAAAGCTTCCTTGGATTCTGCAAGCCAGACTGGCCTGGGTCCTCTTCTTTTTTCTCTGATCACAGATAAGCCACAGCCACACCAGGGCAGCCTGACAGTCCTGATGATCACAAAGGACATCACAGATGAAAACGAAACTAGAGCTGGATGAAGTGGCTCAGACTTGTAATCCTACCACTCAGGAGGCTGAGGCAGGAGGGTTACCACAAGTTTGAGGCTAGCGTGGGCTCATAGTTTAATGCTAGCCTGAACTGCAGAGCAAGATACTGGCTCCAAAAACAAATGGCAAAAGAGCCCCCCCACAACTTTAGCAAACTGCTTGCAAGCTTTCCTTCCACTTTTGTTATCTCTGACCCCACAAATACTTAGGAGCACCTGCCATAGTCCAAATTCTCTTACTTCTACGGTAAGCAAACAAACAAACAAAAGCAACCATCACAGATTCCTGTCACCCTTCTCTTGTGGCTCCTTGCTAGTTAGAATTGGGAGTGTCCTCCCCAAAACCACGTGTATAGCTTTGCTTCCCAGTGCAGGCCCCAGGAGGGAGGGGAGCCTTTCAGGTGACTTGGAGTGCACCCCCATATCTCTCAGGAGTCAGGAGGTGAACATGCTCTCTGTCACTTTTGTTTGGAATCCTCCCCCGAGGTCAAGAACAGGGACTGGAACTGTGAGCCAACTTTTTTAAGTTCATTGTCTTAGGTATTGGTTAAGGGAATGGAAGGCGAATACTCCTCATCCTAAAACCTTCACATAGAAACTGAATCCCGAGGGCCCGAGAAACCTTGCTCAGACCTTTCGTCATATATGAACATACAGGTTCACAGCCCGTGCATGGACTGCTGAAGGTCAAAGCAATTCTGAAATTCCAGAGCAGCAATCTTGCCCAATTCATATTTGATGTGACTAACACAGACTTCATATGGTGGTAAGCTAGTTAGTGCGGGCCCTGGAACACAGCTACAAACAAACAAACAACCCCAAATAAAACAAACATCAGCCCAAGGCAGAGAAAGACAATGGGATCTTAGAAATTACCGCGCCAAGGGCAATTGGAAATCTAGAGAGACAAAGCTGGAAATCGTGGCCACTTGGGTCTCAGGGCATTTGCCAGAGCAGAAGAGGATCACGGGTTCTGGGGTGTTCGAGGCTTGGTGCACAGTGCTGGAGCAGTCAGGTGTGGAGCCCACTGAGCCCTCTGCTTCTGTTCTTTCTGAGAGCCACGCTCTGGGGAGCAGGCGCAGCTCCCCCGCGCCCTGCACTGGGTAGGATTTCCCGTCTGCAGCTGCACTTACATCTTCCTGGTCTACTGCTCCCCACCGTCTCATGGTAGAAGAGAACAGAGCTCGTCTTCACGGGGAAGATTACTTACCCCAAGCCTCAAGTTATTTCCACAGTCTGCTTTTCAAATAGAATATCCAACTTGTAACGGAAGACTGCGCACTGGACGAGGGATGCTGGCAACAGAAAACCAGCAAAGATAACAGATTCAGAAACAGATGCACAGGCTCCAAAGGTGGAAGCAGCACAAATTACCAGGCAACTGTTTTCGAGGACCAAGATGACAAAACATGAGATTAAGTATTTCAGCAAATGATTTAGGCTTAAAAGAGACACTATCTATTTAAATACGAATCAAACAGAAATCCAAGAGTTCAAAAGGACATTAACAGATGAGCTGAGTAGGCAGATTTGATAGAACTTAGACAGAAAGAATCTACTAAGGTCCAAAGAGGAGTCATTAAGATAGTTAAATCTAATTTTGGTTCCCTTCACAGAGATAAAGATGGCACACAAAACGCCAAAGTCAAAAGCATGAAAAATACCAAACGGACCAGAAGAGACACAAAAGAGCCGGAAGAAGGTTCAGCTGCCTCAGAAAACATGACACTCTAAATCTGCAGGCAGGCAATAACGTTGCCTCAGAATGAAACGACAAAAGCCAAGAAAGGAGAAATCAGTCTGCAGTTTGAGAACAAGGCAAGGATATCTGTCCTACCATCTCCCTAATGAATTAATAAAGATCCTAGCTGATACAGCAGCTCCAGAAAAAGTGAGATATATAATGATGTGAAAGAGGGAGAAAACCTTGAGAAATTATAGGTCAGTTTTCATGGAAAATCTAAATACTTGGAATTTAAAGGAGTTAAATAAGATAGCTGGTTCCAAGTTCAATTTATTAAGCTATTTATATTTCTGTGCAATATCATAGAAAAAGTTTTAAATACCACTTACAACATTATCAAAAAGTATTCCAGTTCCTAAGAATAAATCCAACAGAAGATGTTAGGTACCCTACACAGAAAACCATAAACATCAGAGAGAGGAGGCAACGAAGGTCTCAGTAAATGGAGAGCTGTATCATGGTCATGAGTCCATATTTTAAATGCGTTAACCTATAGAATTAGTACAATCCCAACCAAAAGCATAACAGTTTTATTTTTTGTATTTATTTTATCTGCCTTTCAGTGATATATGGCGAGTAGATCTAATAGGTATAAAACTTTATAAAAGTCTGTCTTAGTTACTTCTCTCTCATTGCTGAGACAAAATATCTGACAGCCAAAACTAAAGGGAAAAACAGTTTGTACAGGTTTCAGTCCATAATCAGCTGGCTCCCCTGCAGAGTGGCATGGCAGACAGGCATTGCAGAGAAACAGCAGCTCACGGCGGACAGAAAGGAGCAAAGCAGCCGGGGATGACCACAACTCTTTCTGTCCTCATATCTTACCTAGGCTGTTTAAGGCAGGTAAATTATTATTATTATTGAAATAGGGCGCTCATATCCTTGATCCTGGCATTGCACCATGAATCCATCCCAGCAGCACTCACTCTAGATCCAGCCACCTCTGACAAAGCACAGCTATGACTGCCTGAGGCTGTGGGGGAGCATCTAGACATAAGCCATATCAAAGATCAAGAAGAATCAGGTAAGAGAATAGAACTGAACTAAGATTATCCTGAAGCTGCGGAGATAGAGCAGTTTGGGGACAGAGATGGTCAGAAATGGAGAGCAGAGAGCCTCGAAGTAGCTCCTCGTAATGTGGACCATGCTTTCTGATGCTTTCTGATGAATGTGACATCACTCCACTTTGCCTAAAATAGACTATTTATGTCTTTTATCCTAATGAAATTACAGCTGGCCCTCTAAATTGGGTTCTACATCTGTACATTCACTCAACCATAAATAAAAATACTTTTAACAAAGTATATCTGTCCTGAATATTACAGACTTTTACTTCTTGCCCTTACTCCCTAATAGTATAATAAGACAATTACTTCCTTAGCATTCCTATGTATCAGGTATTATAAATCATCTGGAGATCATTGAAGGTATGCGGCAGAATGTCCATGGATTGTTTGCAAATACTATGCTACATTATGCACGGGACTTGAGCCTCCTTGGAGTCTGGTATTCAAGGGGAACGGATGATGGGGACAGGGGTGTTCCTGGACCCATTACCTGCAGCTACCCAAGAGACAAGTGTATCAGCAGTGCTCTCTTTTACTCTCCAAGTTTCATCAATTTGGTTAATAAATCATATGGTAGTCATTTATGATAAGAGTTGAGTGTGAAGGAGGGAATTTTCTGCTAATCGTTCAGAGACATTTGGAAACCCATAAAGGAAAAATGAATTGAATTTTGCTTTACAACCTATACAAAAATTAATACCAGATGGACTGGCAGACTTAACTCTAAAAGCAAAACCATAAAGCTTCCAGAAAATAATAAAAGAAATTATACACATATATTCATAATGTATGGTATGAACTTGTGGCGAGGACCCACATAACCCAGCATGGACACACACAGGCAACACACACATATCTTTTGTTATATTGAGTCATAGACGCACATTTTTTGCTACTTAATGAGGTCAAACGGCAATGAAGAACTTCAGGTCTGCCCAACACACACTAGGAATGAACCGGCAGCTCTGTGAGAGCTGTAGGCTGATGGCTGGGTGGCGATCACTGAAAAGCACGTTCACCAGGCCAGGATCCCAAGTCCAGAGATTCCGCATCCCCGGCGTCTCCAGAGCTCCAGCGGAAAACAACATGGGCCGCTGGGAAGCTCCGCCAGGTCACAGGCTTGCAGACGCGCCTCCCAGTGCCTTCCAAGCCTTTGCACAAGGAACACGACTTAAATACCCACGCGGGGCAACGCCGGTTCTGAGAAGGAGAACCAGAACTGGGTTGAATATTACAGAATGAGTGGGGATTATTTTACTGTCAAGGTGCTTTTGATGTCATCAAAATTAGAATGCATGTTTAATACAGTTTGTAAGTGGTCTGTTTCTGTGAGTAGGTTAAACGCTGTCTTTGCCATTTTAAATTATTTTTTACTCAAAAACAATTGTCATAGAATTGTTTCTGAGCAGAGCTACTCTCCTGGGTTAGGGCGGGGAGAATTCACTCCGGCCATGGGGAATGGAGCAGGGGGCCGTGGTGCTGGGCACCCCATTTGTGCGTTCGCTGCATGTTGACTCCAGCCTAGCGATGTGGGGGCTGTGGTCCTCACTGCACAGGGAAGCACAGGCTGGAGGGGACCCTGCATCTCCCAGTATCATGGTAGACTCCCGCCTGATTCGGGAGGAGGGGGAGCCCCTGAGTTTCACCAGTCTCGTCCAGAAGGAGAAGCACATTCATTCTGAGCCACTCCAAGAGGCGCCTGGACTTGAGTATTAATGGTCCTTCCCCTTCCTGCCGTGCATCTCAGTTAAACTGGAATGTTGATGTCTTTGCAGTCTCCGGTAGAATTGCCTTGGACAAGGCCAGTGCCAAGGGGATTGTAAAGGTGAGGTAACAGGCACTCGGCAGAATCTACTGAGCCCTGTTTTCCTGCACCATCAGCTCAGTACCCTTCCCCCTCCCACATCAAGGTCAAGCGCCAGTGTCACCACAAAATACTGTGCATCCTGGGCCAGGGTGTACCCCAGCAGTAGATCGTGCGCTTAGCATGCAAAGGCCTTGGGTTCAATCCCCAGCAATCAATCATAAAATAAAATAAAAACAATATAGGGAC